TTAATTATTAAAAATAAATTAATAAATATTTAAAATTTTATATAAATATAATATATAAAAATTATATATAAATAAATCTTTACTTATTTACACGACTTTTAACATTATTATAGGTGATAACCACTTCCAGGGGTAGGGAGTGCGTTGTTCTCCACAAATAGAGGGATTAGGGTGTGTTTGATTAATTCCGGTGGGTTCTCCCTTTTTTTTTTGAGGAAAAGGAAATTTATATAGTATATCATAATAATGTACATTATTTACAAAGACCATCCTGTAGCAGTAAGGAGAACAGAACATTAGGAGGTCTATGTGCCCAAAAAAAGGGGCATTGCCCTTTAAGTGACTGTTTAGCCACCCAATCTGCAACCTTATTATCCTTTCGTGGGATAAAGGAAAACATGAACTGCGGGTGGCGATGAGAGATTTCTCTAAGGGCCAGGATGATTGACTTAATCTCCCATGGGATTGGTTTATGAGCTTGCAATATGGATAAAATTTTGGTTATCTGATTCAAACAAGACATTTTGGGCGCCCATGCTTTCCATATATTTAGCAGCTTTGCATAAAGCAACCGCCTCTGCCATAAGCGGTGATGATGCCATAGCGAGCCAGGATTCTCCAACATAAATCTCACCTTTAAAGTTGCGCCCAACCATTGCTAGAGCAGCACAACCCGTTTGGGGAGAGAAAGAGGCATCAACATTGACTTTAAGGAAGCCCGTTGGAGGTCTAACCCAGGAGGATTGTTGTTGTTTCCCATCAGCTCGTGACCTAGACGGGGCAAGCGGTAAGTTTTTAGACATGCTAGAGGAGTAGTCATGGATCGTAGCAGAGATACGAGCAAGGATTTGATGAGGATTAAAATCCACATGTTCAAAGTGTTTCTCATTTCTTGCCTTCCATAGATGCCAACAGATTATTGCACTTTGATCAACCAGAGATGGTAAACCCATTTGCTTTGCTAAACCATTAATGAACCTCCACCAGTCTCTAAAACAATTCACCCGCAGTTGCCGAGGGTTAAGACCCAAGGTGGAGCCAAACCAAATTAGTTCAACTTGAGGGCAAAAAAATAAGAGATGCATCAAGGTCTCATCAGCTCCCTGACAATTAGGGCAGTTCATCTCTTGTAACACTCCCCTTTTTACCAAATTATCCAAAGAGGGCAGAGAATTTAGTATGGCTCTCCACAAAAAAACCCGAACCTTGGGGGGAATTTTCAATCGCCATAATTGTTTCCACTCTCCAATGGTCATGTCCCTATTGGTTTCATGTATTCCTGGTTCACGGGTCATATTATATGCAAGGAAATAAGCACTTTTGACTGAAAATTTCCCAACTTTATCATAATGCCAGATAAAAGAGTCAGGGCATGCACCAGTCGGGATTTTGAGAATTTCTCTGCACTCTTGGTTGCTGAAGCTAAGATTTAATTTTGTAATATCCCATTCTCCCCCATCATCAAGTAGTTCACAAACATAAGTAAACAAAGAGTGAGTTTCAGGAGAGGTCACCATAAATCCTGGCAGAGTGGGAACCCATCTATCTTCAAAAATCAGAATATTTTGACCGTTCCCGACATTCCATCTCATGCCGATTTGGATGATATCTCTTCCTCGTAAAATGCTTGACCAAATCCAAGAAGGGTGACTTCCCTTTCTAGCAGCCAAAAAGGAGGAATCTGAGAAGTATAAACTTTTTAAGACTTGGACCCATAAGGCATTAGGATTTTGCAATAATCTCCAAGCCTGTCGGGCTAACATTGCCAGGTTAAAACAGTATAGATCTTTAAAGCCCATACCTCCCATATGCTTGCTTTTTGAGAGTTGGCTCCAACTGACCCAGCATATTTTTCTTTCCTCAGCTTGTTGGCCCCACCAAAATTCCCTGATGATTCTGTTGATATCTTGACAAACTCCTACAGGGAAAAGAAAACAAGACATGGTAAAAGTGGGGATGGCCATAGCTACTACTTTAATTAAAATTTCTCGACCAGCTTGTGATAACAAACCCGTCTTCCAGTGAGTGAGTTTCTGCTGTATTTTATCAACCACATATTTTAAACAGTCCGTTTTGGACCTCCCCCATGAAATCGGAACACCGAGATACTTTGAGAAAGTCGACTCAACTTGGATGCCAAGTCTACTACAGATTAAGTTTCGTACCTCAGTTGGAGTGTTGGAGCTGAACCTGGCAGCAGATTTAGAGAAATTGACTTTTTGGCCTGACACATCTCCATAGACTTGCAGAATGGACTGTAATTGGCATATCTCCTCTGTTGTAGCCTGACAAAAGATTAAGGAGTCATCTGCAAAGAGAAGGTGGCTAATAATAGGGCTCCATCTTCGGATCCTATAGCCAGAAAGTTGCTTTGCTGAAGTGGCTGCCGTTAATAACCGAGATAAAATGTCAGCAATGAATAGATAAAGATATGGGGATAATGGGTCCCCTTGACGAAGTCCACGTCGAGGGCTGAAAAAAGGAGTTTGGTTGCCATTGATTCCCACTGTATATGACACAGTTGAGACACATTGCATCACCATATGGATCCATTTATCGCAAAACCCATGAGCCCTCATAATATATTCCAAGCAACTCCAATTAACATTATCATAAGCTTTCCGAATGTCTAGTTTTAAAGCAATAACACCATGCTTACCTGACTTTTTTAGGTGTAAGCCGTGGAAAGCCTCCTGTGCAATGATAATGTTGTCATGTATGGACCTACCAGGCACAAATGCAGACTGAAATGGAGAGATCAGGTCATTGAGATATGCTTTGAGTCGATTAGCCAGAATTTTAGCAATAACTTTATAAGAGAAGTTGCAAAGAGATATAGGACGATATTGTGTAATCACCTTAGGATTTTTGACTTTAGGAATAAGAACAATTTTTGTCTTGTTCATCTCCCTAAGCATGAAACCAGTTGTAAAGAAATGCTGCACAGCCCTACAAACATCATTGCCAACAAGATCCCAGTGATGTTGGTAGAAACACCCTGGAAAACCATCAACTCCGGGGGCTTTTAGAGCGCCCATTTGGAATACTGTGGCCCTTATTTCTTCATCCGAAACAACTCGACATAGGTCTTCATTCATTTCTGTAGTCACCAACGATTTGATAAGCCCCTCAATCTGAGTAAAAGAACAAGTTTCTGGGGAATCATAGGCCTGTTGAAAGTGGGAATAAGCATGATCCAAAAGAGAGTCAATCCCCTCCAGAAGTGTGCCTTGGTCATCCTTCAGCTGGAAAATGTAATTGTTCTGTCGTCGTCGAGAGGCCATGGCATGAAAGTACTTGGAGTTTCTATCACCCAGGAGTATCCAACTGGTGCGGGCTCTCTGAAACCAATGTGTTTCTTCCTGTAGCCATAGGGAATTAATTTCATCAATCAACAGCCTTTGTTGGGATAAGTTTGCTTCCGATTGTTCTTCTAATTGTAATTGATCAAGTTCCTTCTGTAAACGCTCCACCTCAAGACGAGAATTTCTTCCTGTGTGTTTCCACCAGTGCATCAAATGTTTTCTACAATGAGCAAGTTTAGAGGACATGCAATAGAGAGGAGAACCAGGGCGTTCTGTTGCCCAGCCTTGAGCTATCACTCCTTCATATTCCCGGTGTTGCTGCCATTTAAGCTCATAGCGAAACTGTTTCCTAGGGAACACAGGGATGGCTTTTAAACAAAGTAGCAGAGGACAATGATCCGATCCAATCCTAGTACAGTGAAAAAGTTGAGCATTAGGAAAAAGTTGACTCCACCGTTCATTACTTAAGGCACGATCAAGTCGTTCACTGATGCTCCCTCTTGACCATGTGTATCTCGCACCTCTGTAGGCGAGTTCCCTGAGACAACAAGAGGTAGTCAATTCCTCCAGTAGCCTTCTATCCGTGACTAGCGGTGGGCGTTTCCCTTTTTTGTCATAGCTGTCTCCAACCAAATTGAGATCCCCCATTAACAACCAAGGAATCACGGCATCCCGCTTCAAGGCAATCACCCTTCTCCACATATCTCTTCGCATTTGGATGTTAGGTTCCCCATATATAAATGAAAAATGCCAAGTGATATTATAATCCACATCAGACACGCTTCCGTCGAACAAATTTTTGTCCGCTGAAAATATGGAAATATGAACATCGTCTGTCCACCACAAAGCTAGACCCCCTGAATAGCCTTGCGGATTAACATACACTCTGTTTGCAAATGAGAGTCTCCTTCTTAATCCCTCCAGATACCTCATGGTTTGTTTAGTCTCCATCAGAAAAACTAAGCAAGGGCGGTGTTTAAAGATAAGGTCTTTCAGCACTCTTCTTGTCAAGGCTTGCCCAAGGCCCTGACAATTCCACGAAAGGATGTTCATGTTGGTAAGCGTGGCTTCCAAGGGGCAGCCACCAAAGCCCCATAAGTGTCAGTAATGTGGAGAGATTGCTCAGTTTGAGTTGATGGAGTACTCAGTGAGTATGAGGAGGAGGTACCTGGAGTTGTATTGACTAGAGGGAGTTCTGGAATAACTGGGGGATCATTGAAGGGGATCTGTGTTGGATGAAAATCTTGGAGAAGGGAGAATCTAGCATCTGGCTTAAATCGCACATGATGAGTGAGGGCTTGCTGCCGGATTCTTCTTCGAACTTTCTTCACGGTGATAGTCTCATTTACATTTGTGAAAAAGCCTTGCTGATCCTGTTTGTGGAATTCAGATCTATCTAGTGCGAGAGCTGCTTGTAATTGGGCAGGGGAGCATAGGAATTCAGAAGCTTCAGCATCTCTAATACGGGCCCGTTTAAATATATGCTCTAAAGGCCCCATCTCAGTTTTACGTTTTTGCCCGATATTCATCGACCTTCCCAGTGATAAATGGGCCTTTACCTGTTCGGATAGAATGAAGCCCACTTCAACATCCATAGTAGACTGCTCTGGGCCAATTTGGATGGGGAAGGAGGTTTGCTGACGTCCAGTGAATTCGTCCGATGTACTTGAACATTCAAGAGTCTGAACAGATAAGAATGCATCGTCTTCGGTCACCATCGCATTTAATGGAGGAGTTATATGCTCGGGGGTGGGAGTGGATGGCAGTGAGGATTGTGAGCCTCCAGCTGGATGAGTAATTATGTCACTGCAGGAAGGATTACAAGCAATAAAAGCTTTGGGCGGCGAGTCTGAGGAAAGCTGGTTCACGCGTTCGTCATCAGCTGGTACCCCACCCAATGTTGGTGTGCCTTCCACGTCATGGATCAACTGTGGCTCTGTATTGACTGGTGTGTTTGTTACCGGCTGTTTTGCATCTCGCCGAAGTGGAGCCAAGTGTGCCGGTGATTCCATGCTTAACTGCGGATTCTGCTTTGTTTCGCGAATGGAACCGAAATGCTTCCTCGGAGAATAAGCTTGAACCCTCATATGTGGGCCATATTGGGGTCTTGGTTGTGTGAGATAGTTTCCGTCTTCATCTTTCCATCTAAAATCAGTGCAGGTTTTTTGAGTATGGCCAAGCATGCCACATCTATAACAGAAATCAACCAATTTTTCATATTTAAATACCGCTGAGCAGATTTCATCCCCTTGCATGCGAAATTGAAAACCTGATAATAGTGGGAGATGAACATCTATTTCAACTCTTAGGCGCAGGAAGCTCTCTAAGCCCCCCAAAGTAGATTTGTCCCAAGAGATTAACCGGGGGAAGAGGGAGCCAATGAGTTGAATATTTTCTAGGGTCATACAGCCTTTTGGTAATCCATGAACTTGTACCCAAAAGGCCGAGTGGGAGAAGGCAATTTCATCAAATCTCTGTGAATCAGGCCATTCCTTAAGGATGATGTGGGACCCCTTCACAAACCATGGAGACTCCTGGAAGATGCGATCCTTCTCTATTTCATCAGAGAGGAGAAAGATAAAGGTGTTCTTGGACTGCTCATGAACCTCCAGTCCTCCCTTGGGTCTCCATGCGCTTTTCAAGATGCTGTACACGACTCCACTTTTAACATTGTCTTCATCTGCTAGTAAATGACTTGCAAAAGAAAATCTGCGCAGTTCGTCCTGGTCCTTCTCCTTCGGAACGAGGCGCAGTATAGGAGGACTGGGCACCCCCCTAATTTCATCACCAGCAGTTAATTGATGCTCATCAGGCATTCTATCCACCTAGAATGAGTAACAGAGGTGGGTAGAATAAATGCAAACCAAAAACGACTTTCACAAACCCTGGAGTAGTTAAAGAGTACCCAGCACCACCACTTTCAAACTTGAGACACCACGGCGACGGTTGGGGATTCTGGATGGTCAGGATGAAGAGATTAAAGAGAAGAAAACCTGAAGGTAAACACCTCAGGAGATCAAAGTGGGATACCCTAGAGAGAAACTCCTAGAAACGGTCCCCTCGTCTTTTGGTGGGTTCTCCCTTTTTATTTAGAAATTGTTTGGAGTATTTTATTGTTTATTTACTTTAAAATTATAAAATACTTCAGTTGTTTTAAAATAATATAAGTTTTTTT